TAGGTGTGTTTTGTGGTGCCATCATGACAGAAATGGAGGAGGATGATTTGTTGAATAGTTCAGTGGGACAAAAATGTTCCCATTGGTAGGAGAGACTAGGACCCGAGGGCACAGCCTCGGAGTAAAGAGAAGAGCTTTTTAGAACAGAGATAAGGAGAAACTTCTTTAGACAGAGAGTGGTGAATCTGTGGAATTCACTGCCACAGAAGGCTGTGAAGGCCAGGTCATCGCATATATTTAAGACGGAGATAGATAGATAGATTCTTGATTGTCAAGGGGATCAAAGGTTACGGGGAGAAAGTGGGAGAATGGGGTTGGGAAACTTATCAGCCATGATTGAATGACGGACGGGACTCATTGGGCTGAATGGCCTAATTTCTGCTCTTATGGCTTATAGTTCAGTGGGACAGAAACAGACTGAAAAAATAGGTCTACCAGTGAAGTTCTATTCATAGATCTTGGGAAGAAAGTAGAAGTAGGCTAGCTTGGCTTGGGATCTGAGATTTATGTCCGAACAGGGAATATTTTCAAAGGAGAGGAGGTCAGTCATAATCTGGAGACAACAGGTGGACGGCCAATAGTGGGGTCACAGTTCAGGAGAGATAGGATGATCTGTTGACGAATTGCATTCAGCCTCTGCAAGGTGAAACTCAGATCAGCAGACAGTGTGGATGAGAGGCAAGAGGGAGGGTGCAGGTGGTGGTAGAAAACTGAAGATGGAAACGGGCTGTGAAACAGAGAAGTGGGAGGTGTTGGCCTTATCATAAGACTATTAATTCTGACACCCAGGTAATATTCTGGGGATCCAGTTTCGAATCCCAGCATGGCAGATGAAGTTTTAATTCAAAATAAAATTGCCTGGAATTAAGAGTCTGAGCATAATGCTGAACTCTATGACCTAGAAACCATTGTCGATTGTCAGGAAAAACCCATCTGGTTCACTAATGTCCTTCAGGGAAGGTAACTGCTACCCCCTACTGGTCTGACCTACATGTGACTAAAGACCAGAACAATTGCCCTCTGGGAAGGGAAATAAATGCTGGCCTAGTCAGTGATGTCCAGATCCTGTGCATGAATTAATAAAAGAATAGACTGCTGACTAGAGAAGTGGATGAGGAGTTGAATGCAAAGGACGTAGAGCTCAGGATCATGCCAATCTTAATTCATTGCAGTGGTTGTGTTTAGTTGAAGATCTTTTCTAAGGACAGATCATTTGTGGTCAGAGAAGGTCAAGGGGTCTTGTGCTATATTGAGAATTTAGAACACCATTTTTCAAAAGTTACTTTTGTACTTTCAGTGATATTTTACAGAGTTTAAGTGAATTAAACTTTTGTTCTGTTTTGAAAGGATTATTAAGTTTTAACACATTTCTACAGCAAAATATTAAGTTGGGCCATAAATCTTTTAGCCCCTTGGGGACAAGCTGGGAGGCAGGAAGGCTGGCAAAGTGGCATAGGAAATGTCAGAGTAGAATGCTCAACATGCTCCCGTCGTCAGGCCATGTTGCTAACAGTGGGAAAGTTGGCATATTGGTTTCTTGCTGACAGCCCAATTTAGTCACTTCTTTGATCAATTAAGAGCCTCTTCCTGTCTCCAGGATCCCTTATAGGTGAGCCTGACACTGCTTAGGGAGACCATCCACTGAAACAAATCCCCAGTTCCCTTTGCATGCCTGCCTGGTCCCATTGTCCCCTGACAGTACTTCACTTTTTTTTTGAGGCCATTCAGCATTGAGGCATCATCTTCCTGCATCTGTAACTAAGCGCTGGCCAGTGCTAGCATTGGTGCTGCCAAGCTCCTGCACCTTGTGGTGTGGGCTGCCCTGTTTATTTAGACAGTACCCCCAGTGTCACTTCATGCATTGACAGCAGGTGGCTCTCTTGCCTCCCGTTCCATCCCTGGCGATGGAACATTGGCTATCTCCAGAAACCTAAGCTCCAGATGATCCGTTATATCTAAAAATGTTCTGTATTACTCAAAAGATGGAAGTTTGTATAAGTCATGTCAATTAACTAACAACATCACAATTTAATATTTAATACATGACAGAATTGGAAGGGGTCTAATATAATGGCGAGAAGATTTGCTAGAGCTGCTCAGGAGGATTTAAACTAGTAAGGATGGGGGGTGGGGTTTGTCCCATGGAGATAGTGAGGAAGGAGTTCAGTCTGAGAGTAGGACATTTGGGGAAAAGAGCAAGTTGAAATAATATTACTGCAATACTTGGGGAGGATATTCCTGGGAATACGTCCAGGGAAGTTATTTGGGTGGAACTAAGAAAAGTATGATCACCTTATTGGGATTGTACTATAGACCATCCAGTAGTCAGCAGAAAATTGAGAAATAAATTTGTAAGGAGATCTCAGTTATCTGCAAGAATAATAGAGTGGTTATGGTAGGGAATTTTAACTTTCCAAACATAGACTGGGACTGCCATAGTGTTAAGGGCTTGGATGGAGAGAAATTTGTTAAATGTGTACAAGAAAATTTTCTGATTCGGTATGTGGATGAACCTACTAGAAAAGGTGCAAAACATGACCTAATTTTGGGAAATAAGGCAGGGCAGGTGACTGAGCTGTCAGTGGGGGTGCACTTTGGGGCCAGTGACCATAATTCTATTAGTTTTAAAATAACAGTGGAAAAGGATAGACCGGATCTAAAAGTTAAAGTTCTAAATTGGGGGAAGGCCAATTTTGATCGTATTAGGCAAGAACTTTCAAAAGTTGATTGTGGACAGATGTTTGCAGGTAAAGGGACGGCTGGAAAATGTGAAGCCTTCAAAGATGGGATAATGATAGTCCAGAGACAGTATTTTCCTGATAGGGTGAAGGGCAAGGCTGGTAGGTGTAAGGAATGCTGGATGACGAGAGAAATTATGGTTTTGGTCAAGAATAAGAAGGAAGTATATGTCAGGTATAGACAGCAGAGATCGAGTGAATCCCTAAAAGAGTATAAAGGCAATAGGAGTATATTAAAGAGGGAAATGAGGAAGGTAAAAAGGGGACATGAGATGGCTTTAGCAAATAGGGTTAAGGAGAATCCAAAGGGATTCTACAAATACATTAAGGGCAAAAGGGTAACTAGGGAGAAAATAGGCCCCTTAAAAATCAATAAGACTGCTTATGTGTGGAACCGCAGGAGATGGGGGGAGTTACTGAATGAGTATTTTGCATCAGTGTTTACTATGGAGAAGGATACAGAAGATAGAGAACGTAGGAGGAAATAAATAGCGACAACTTGAAAAATATCCATATTACAGAGGAGGAAGTGCTGGATGTCGTAAAATGCATAAAGGTGAATAAATCCCTGGGACCTGATCAGGTGTACGCTAGAGCTCTGTGGGAAGCTAGGGAAGTGATTGCTGGGCCCCTTGTTGAGATATTTGTATCATCGATAGCCGCAGGTAAGTTGGCAGAAGACTGAAGGTTGGCTAATGTGGTGCCACTATTTAAGAAAGGTGGTAAGAAAAAGCCAGGGAACTATGGCTGGATGAGCCTGACCTCGATGGTGGGCAAGTTGTTGGAGGGTATCCTGAGGGACTGAATTTACATGTATTTGGAAAGGCAAGGACTGATTAGGAATAGTCAACATGGCTATGTGTGTGGGAAATCATGTCTCACTAACATGATTTTGAAGAAGTAACGAAGAAGATTGATGAGAGCAGAGTGGTGGATGTGATCTTCGTGGACTTCAGTAAAGCATTCGACAAGGTTCCTCATGGTAGACTGTTTAGCAAGATTAGATCACATGGAATAGAGGGAGAACTAGTCATTTGGAAAGAGAACTGGCTTGACAGTAGAAGACGGAGAGGGGTGGTGGAAGAGGGTTGCTTTTCAGTCTGGATTCCTGTGAACAGCGGTGTGCCACGAGGATTGGTGCTGAATCCGCTGCTTTTCGTCATTTGTATAAATGATTTGGATGTGAATATAGGAGGGATGGTTAGTAGATTTGCAGATGACACCAAAACTGGAGGTGTAGTGGACAACGAAGAAGGTTACCTCAGAGTACAATGGTATCTTGATCAGATGGGCTATGGAGTGGCAGATGGAGTTTAATTTAGATAAATGTGAAGTGGTGCATTTTGGAAAGGCAAATCAGGGCAGGATTCATGCATTTAATGGTAATGTCCTGGAGAGTGTTGCTGAACAAAGAAACCTTGGGTGCAGGTTCATAGTTCCTTGAAAGTGGAGTCCCAGATAGACAGGATAGTGAAGAAAGCATTTGGTATGCTTGCCTTCACTGGCCAGTGCTTTGAGTATAGGAGTTGTGAGGTCATATTGCGGTGTACAGGATATTGGTTAAGCCACTTTTGGAATACTACATGCAATTTTGGTCACCTTGCTATAGGAAGGAAAGGGTTCAGAAAAGATTTACAAGGAAGTTGCCAGGGGTGGAGGGTTTGAGATATAGGGAGAGGCTGATTAGGCTGGGGCTATTTTCCCTGGAGTGTTGGAGGCTGAGGGGTGACCTTATAGAAGTTTATAAATCATGAGGGGCATTGATAAATGGAAGAGCCAAGGAATTTGAATTTGCCAAAACTTTGAATGTATTCAAAATATTGCACTTGGGGCGAATGGGATCAAAGGTTATGGGGAGAAAGCAGGATTAGGATATTGAGTTGGATGATCAGCCATGATCGTGAAGAATGGCAGAGAAGGCTCAAAGAGCTGGATGGCCTCCACCTGCTCCTATCTTCTATGTTTCTATGTCTTTTCCCTGGGACGGGGGTGTCTAAAACTAGAGGGCATATTGTTGAAAGTGAGAGAGGAAAGATATAAAAGGAACTTAAGGGGCAGCTTTTCCATGCAGAGGGTGGTTCATGTATGGAATGAGCTGCCAGAGAAAGTGGTAGAGGCTGATGCAACTATAACAGGCAGGAAGGGTTTAGAGGGATGTGGGCCAAATGCTGACAAATGGGACTAGATTTCACTGTACGAGTTGGACCGAAGGGTCTGTTTCCGTGCTGTACATCTCTTATAACTCTATGACTCTATTTGCAGGCTCTGATTGCTGGACTTGAAGGGCTCAGTGGCATTGTGTCTGTTTCCTGTACAGAAGATGAAATTTTCATGTTGACTGATGACCGTGATATAATTCGAATTTCCAGCAAACCAGAATGTTTCAAGTTAATGGGTAAGATTGCTTAATTAAAAACATCACTTTGGGCTGAATTGGAGAAACCTCCATGTCACATGGCATTGCGGTGGAGATCAGAAACATACCAACTTGAATTTTTTTTAATTCATTAACTGGACGAGGGCATTGCTGGCTAGGCAGCATTTATTGCCTATACCTAATTGTCCAGAGGGCAGTTCAGAGTTAACCACATTGCTGTGGGTCTGGAGTCACATGTAGGCCAGATCAGGTAAGGATGGCAGTTTCCTTCCCTAAAGGACATTAGTGAACCAGATGGGTTTTTCCAACAATCGACAATGGATTCAATGTCATCGTTAGATTCTTAATTCCAGATACTTATTGAATTCAGATTCCACCCTTTGCCATGGTGGAATTCAAACCCGGGTCCCTAGGACATTACCTAGGTCTCTGGATTAACGGTCCAGCAACAATACCACTAGGCTATTGCCTTCCCAATAATGCTTGATCTTTGATTGCTGACCATTGGGAATTGAAGTTGGCCGCTGTATGTATGTGTTATCCAAATAGAGCTTATCTAATGAAGCCCCTTCCTCTGTACTCCTTAATGTAAAGATGTTTCGCTAGCTCGTAAAATATGAATCTTACTGTATTTGCTATTCAATCTCTTTCATAGCTGAAAAGTTTCATGACATTCATGCATGAAATGTGACCACATGGTGTGCACCAAACAGCTATAGATTTCAATGGCCTAAACCAAGTAAAGTTCACAGAGCAGCGAGACAGGTGGGGCCTAACTCAATAGACCCTAATATATTTAAATAAAAGTGCATTCTGCCAAGGAAAGTTTTGGAAAAAGAGTTTATTGGGAGGGGATGGCTAGGAACAAGTTTGAAGGTCAGTCTGTTGCACAATCTGTTAACAATCCAAAAATTGCCACAGTCTTCTGTCAGCTAAGTTGAACTTTTCTTTGTGCATAGCTTTATAGTCCTGTTTTGAGTGTTTTCTAAGTTTGTAAATGTTTACACAAGATAGTATTTGACGTCAAAAGTTTATTTATTGTGATAATCAGTGACCAGGTTGATTTCCACATTACAAGGATTATGTTTGACATGTGCAAATTAGGTTAGGCTTTTGTAAGCCAGAAAATCGTTGACTAAGCCAAAAACGTTTGGGGAACATTTGTAAATGACTCTACTTTTATTTCGTCCTAGTCTTCTGACCCTTGGGCACAATGCACAAACTCCCTCTCAAGCCACTATGTGATGGACTGCCTCAATGACTGTTCACTTTCTGGTCAGTTCACCTTCTTTTAGCAGGGTCTGTGCACGTCTGGTGCCCAAAAACTATAAGCAACTCAACTTTTTATGGACGACTAGCTTCTTCAATCTAGAACTGCCCCCTAGCTTTTCCCCTGAATTCTAATCTTGTTCAGTTACATCGAGCAAATATTGCTGATGGGTTTTTCAAACTCCACTCTCAGCGGTTTGAACTTTTACCACCACATAACTTTTTCTGACCACCTCACCCCCACCCCCACCCCAAAATTCTGAAGGGCTTTTCAGGAATTCTGACCCGAACACTTAGCGGCCTGTCAACTTCTAGATACCTACCTGAATTGTACAGTGCAAAGATAACAAGGTGTAGAGCTGGATGAACACAGCAGGCCAAGCAGCATCAGAGGAGCAGGAAAGCTGACGTTTCAGGCCCAGACCTTTCTTCAGAAATGGGGGAGGGGAAGGGGATTCTGAAATAAATCGGGAGAGAGGGGGAGGCGGATAGAACATCGATAAAGGAGAAGATAGGTGGATAGGAGACAGACAGGTCAAAGAGGCGGGGGTGAGCCTGTAAAGGTGAGTGTAGATGGGGAGTTAGGGAGGGGTTAGGTCAGTCCATGGGGGACAGGTCAAGGGGACAGGATGAGGCGAGTAGGTAGGAGATGGGGGTGGGGCTTGAGGTGGGAGGAGGGGATAGGTGGGAGGAAGGACAGGTTAGGGAGGCGGGGACAAGCTGGGCTGATTTTTGGGATGCGGTTGGGGGAGGGGAGATTTTGAAGCTTGTGAAGTCCACATTGATACCATTTGGGCTGCAGGGTTCCCAAGTGAAATATGAGGTGCTGTTCCCAAGTGAAATGTGAGGTTCTGTTCCTGCAACCTTCGGGCGGCAGTGCAAAGATATCCAGTTGCCGTCAATGTCTTGGTGAGTCCCTTACACAGAACACGTAGTCCTTCCCAGAAGCACAGCTGCAACCAGCAGTGCCCCTGTCTCTCTCTCTCTCTCTCTCTCTCTCTCTCTCTTTTCCACCCCTATTTCTAGGCAGAATTGCATGTAACTGATAGTTTGCAACATTCAAACATAACCCGTGAAATTGCATGAGCTCTGTATGTTTTATTTTCAAAAAAGGATCGATTACATCTTTCCAATCTCTTTAGTCATGCCTAAATTCAAAATGGGTGCAATTGGGAATAAATCACCACCAGTTATCAGTGATTATTGACTGAACAAACAATATAATATATTTTTCTTTGATTTTTGAAATAATAAGTTGCAATTCATTGAACCATCGCTCGTTAGTCCTTTAGTTATGAACGCTTTAACTCTCGTACGTTAAAGCACATTGACCGGAACTGAAAATACAGAGCAGGTTTCAGTGAGAATATTTTTTAATATTAAAAAAAATGTAATTAAAATGTATGTCAGCTGTAGTTCAGTTGGTAGTACTCTTGCTGCAGAGTGAGAACACTTCTGGGTCAAGGCCCACGAAAGAACTTGGGAAGAGAAATCTAGGCCGGCTTTCTACAGCAATACTGAGGGAGTGTCGTACTGTCAGAGGTACATTCAACTCAGGCCCTGTCTGTCCTGTCAAGTAGTCATAAACAATCAAATAATTGATTAAATTTCAAGAAGAATAAGATGTATCCTTTGTCATTTGACCAATAATTATCCACCAGTCAACATTATCTAATATCACATTTCTGTTTGCAAGAACTTACTGTGCTCAAATAAGCTGCTACATTTCCAACAGTACAACAGTGACTACAATTTACAAGGTACCATAATGCACTTTGGGACATCTTGTGATTTTGTAAGGATCAATGTAATTCAATTTTTTTTTAAATACCAAAAATGACTGGAAATTTTGTTACAGCTTTGACAGACCCGAAGTAAAAATAAAATTGAAAGACAATGAGTGTCAGCAACATGGTAACATCTAAGAATGTAGACAGATTCCAACAAAGCAATTTCATAGACAGTTATCTAAAATTGAGGAGAATTGGGTTCATTGTAGTTAATTTACACCCAAAACTCCACATTCTTTTAGGCCAAGTAATTGTTTTGCACCCACAATGGGTGTAAAGATGAGAAAACTCCAAGCTTTTGTGTTCTACAGAATATTGGTATAAAATATTGTTGTGTTGGTTTTGTATTGGCACCATTCACAGCTTGTGAGGGATATTGAATTCTTAGGTGCGATTAATGATTTCCAGATTTGTTGGACAGATGCTGTGAATCCTACACAGAGGAAACTACAGTAAAAAAATTTAATTCACTTTGTTGTAATTTTTGGTGCCGCTTCAAGCATGAGTTTGCCTGATTTTGTTGTGGGGTTCTTGACATACACAGTACCATCAAGCATTCGCATGACCTGGTGTCTGTAGAACCTATTATCATTCATGAACTATCTGGATTCTTATATTGAAGAAATAGCCTGAGCAGGAATTTCTTCTATTCTCATTACTGGTTAAATTTCTGAAAATATGATTTTTTTTTTCTTTGGACTCTTGACAACAGCACATTATTGGAAGACTCATTTTGCTAAGTCTAATCTTTTTAGTTCACGGTGAGACTGATTCTGTGCTTTTGGAGAGCATTAAGGAGCCTTTACCTCACTTGCTTTAGTTTGCTTCAATCCTCCCTGCATCCTGCACATATTACGAACTTCTGTTATAGCCCTTTGGCAAAATATTTACCATATTTGTCTTCTGTATCTCCATTTATTCCTCACTTTGTATCATCGTCATGACTCCAATATTGACAGCAGGTTTACTGAGCTGCCCATGATGGAGCAGAAGTCTGGGATTCCCTCCTTGTGAATTAAGCTCCAAACTTTAGAAAGTGATAGATTCCTTGCCCAGTTTCTTTTTTTTCTGTTTGCTGATCAAACCATTTCCAGCGATAGGTTGTTGTAGTAAAATTGAAATGCAATAGCTGTGTTATTGAAGGTGTATGCATCTAGTATGTGTACATATTACAATTTTGTTAAGCGGTTCCACATTCCTTTTGTGGGCCTTGACCAAGAAATGCTCTCACTCTGCAGCAAGAGTACTACCAACTGAACTACAGCTAACATACATATTAATTACATTTTTTTAATATTTAAAAATATCCTCACCGAGCTTGGTGAGCCAACCAACCACAATATCCACAATCCGAGCTACAAATCTACTCCAAAACCTTAGAAAATATCCTCATGGATATTTTTCAATTCATCTTCTGTGGAAGCAAAGGATGCAGCTATATTGATTTTTGAACATTTTTTTATGTGTGCACATTCATAAATTATGATGAGTCAACAGTGTTCACATCTGTAAAGAGATGTTTTTAGTTTTAGAAACTTCACAGATTTTTAATTTATTTTATTTTGTTCTTTTATCAATTTTGAATTATGAATTATTGACTGATGGACTTTGAGACAGTTTGGGTTAAGAAGAAATGAACAGACTTGGCAAGATAATTTTGTTTGAGAGGCCAAGCCTGGAGGCTAATTGTAGGCTGAGCCTTGAAAAATGGTTCCGACAGACGCCCCCACCCCTCCACCTCCTGCGCAGTCAGCCCAGGAAAAGCTATGTGTTTAAACTGAAAACAGAAATTGGCTATTCATGAGGTCAGTACCTGGGAGTTGGTTCAGTTCTTGCAGATGATCATCCACTCAGCACTTTACTCACACCATTTGTATTATCTTTTGACACTCATAATTACTGGGAATTATCTTGCAATGATCTCTCCGCCTATAAATTCTGTGCCTGTGCGCTTCTCTCCACTTCACCTCATAAAGGAGCAACACTCCGAAAGCTTGTGATTTCAAATAAACCTGTTGGACTATAACCTGGAGATAGTAAGGACTGCCAATGCTGGAGTCAGAGATAACACAGTGTGGAGCTGGAGGAACACAGCAAGCCAGGCAGCATTAGAGGAATAGGAAAGTTGACGTTTTGGATCAGGACCCTTCTTCAGAAAAATGCAGTGGGAGAGAGATCCACTGAGGTCTTTCCGGAGGGAGGAGGATAACTTCTTCAAGGTGGGCATTCCTAGAAGAGGCTTTGCAGTGGGGTTATAACTCACTCAGAGATCGTAAGAACTGCCGATGCTGGAGTCAGAGATAACATAGTGTGAGCTGGAAGAACACAGTAGGCCAGTAAGCATCGGAGGGGTAGGAAAGTTGACGTTTCAGGTTGGGACCCTTCTTTAGAAAAATCTATAACCTGGTGTTGTGTGACTTCTGACTTTGTCCACCCCAGTCCAACACCGCACATCCACATCATGTCTTTTGTACGAATGGGGCAGAAAACAAATGTTTGGGTTTGAAGCACAGATGCTGCTTAAATTTTGTCTCTGCTAATGTTAGTTTATATTTAGTAAGTCTTCTGTTTAAGGCATAAAACTGGTGTCTAGAAATTAATTATCCACAAAATCTGGGCTTGGTTATTCAAAAGTCTGGTTCGGAACTGTTGGAGTGACAATTTTGGGGTCTTCAACAGTTTAATTTTTTTGTGTTGCAAATACAGAGGTGGAAAGTCTGCTTTGGTTCTGTCTCAGTGTCATAACAAATCAGTGTGGAAATCATAAAATCCATGCAGTGGAGAAAAAGACCATTCAGGCCATTGAGTCTGCACCAACCCTCCGAAGAGCATCCCACCCAGACCCACGCCCCTCCCCAACCATAGCCCTGAAACCCCGCATTGTTTTTTATTTTACTATGGCTAACCCACCTAAACCACACATCCCTGGGCATTACCGGACAATTTTTTTTTTAACATGGCCAATCCATCTAACCCACACATCTTTGGACTGTGGGTGGAAACTGGGGCACCCAGAGGAAACCCATTAGAACACAGGAACAATTTTCAGACTTCACACAGTCACCCAAGGCTGGAATCGAACCTCGGTCTCTGGTGCTATGAGGCAGCAGTGCTAACCACTAATACCATATGTACAAAATAATACTAATTAAACTTTTCTCTATGCTTTATTGAATTACCTTTTTAAAAAAAGTTGGAAAAGAAGTTATGAGACCTCTTGCTTAACTGTCTCGCTCTTCTTCTGTGGTATCATTCTCACCAATAATGCTATTGGCACATTAACAGTTTGATACTGAATTTAAATTAATAATCAAATCAGTAAATATAATGTACAGATCTAAAACCACAACAAACTACTAAACAATAGTGATAAGCTTGATTTCAAGGGGATAGGGTTGGTGATTCCTTGTTCTGTGGCCAAGTGCCATAACTTTATACTTGCATTTTTAAAACAACAGAAGAGAAGATATAAAATTATTGGCGTAAACTGGGTTTAGTATTTATGTTTTGTTTCTCTTTGACGCTCTTAGGTTTCTTCTTCATAACCTTTTTTTTAACTTTTTCAAAGGCATGACAATGTAAAGTCAGGTTTCTTCTAGTTAGGAAATCAAGGACTGCCTGGTCTTTCAGGAGTAAAGTTCAGAAACATATTCAAAGGGTAGTAGAAGCTTTTGAATACTTCTGCAAACATGAGCTTTAGCAGTTGTTCATTTTAAATCTGAAATGGTTAGTTTTTTTTAATCCAAAGATAATTTGTGGTTATAGGACGAAGTGAAAGTGAATTAAGACATGTAAATTAGGTTGCAAATAAGCAGAATTATAGCACACACTCAAATGTCTAAATACCCTATTTCTGTTTTGTTGTGGTTCTTGAGTTGCATTCTGTTTTCTTTGTAACTTCCAGCTTCATGTGCGTGTTAATTTGTTAGTACGTATATATGTAAGATAAGTACAAGATTTTATATTCAAACCTCAAATGCACACAGACAATGATAAACTACCAACTTCAGCTTTTTTAAAAAGTTGAACAATTTGACAATGCCTTCAAGGCAAAGAAAGGTGAAAGATTGTTTAAAACACTGTGAATGGAGGCTGTCCTGAATCTCAGATTCTTTTCTCCCTTTTTTTGCAGGACAGTTTCTAAATCTGATGTAAACTTAATGCAGATGTAATTGCTTTTTCAGGTGTGCATTCACAATTAAACTCCCCGCTGGCAGTCAGCCCCAGGGAATCCGTTCAAGAAACAGTGATTGCAACAGACTCAAAAGAAATGCGAAGTGAAAATAAAACTTCAGGAACTGATAAGTTTGAAGCACATCATTCGTTGTCTTCAGAACTTGAGCCAAATTTGAGTTCAAAAAACGAAATGGAAATATATCCCTTGGACGAGACAGGACAAGGAAGATATTCGGAAACAAGTGAGTCGAGGAGCAGAAGCAGTTCTACAAACAGTGGTATTAGTGTTTTTGGCCATGTAACAACTCCAGAACAGCAGATAGAAGCAATTTCCTCACCTGTGGGATTAACAAAGATTTCAGATTCTGCAGAAAGATTCAGAGCAATGAACATGGAAGAATTCAACCAACAGCTCATTGTTGTTCCTGTAAAAAAGAAGAAGAAACGGAAACAAGGTATTTTTTAAAATAACGTTTGGTTTTATGACTTCAGTAATGTAAATTAAGGGATATTTAATTTAAACATGCAACCACCGTTGAAGGCCTGTATGATAATTTGTAAAAACCTGAAGTGATTCTGTTGACATTTAATGACAGCCATCAAATTGGCATGTAACTTTTTAGAATAGAGTTGAAGCTGCTACCTACTCATTTGGACAATTATGAGGGTATATTTCTAAGGTGATTCTGCTTATTAATCTGCTAATTATTATTAAAATTAATGTATTTGACACATTCTCACAACTTTATCATTTTGACGGGATAGACTGGAAATAGTTGAAAGGTCAGTAATTGGATGGCATGAATTGAATAAAGAGAAAAGTTCAATTTTATTTTAAACTGGCTTGGAATTGCTCTATTCAAATGTAGTTATGTGATCCATAATTTAGAGAAGTGGGCATAACGTCTTGGAAAATTTTACAATATTGTTCTAGTTGCTTATGGTTTCTTTATGATGGAAGGTTTCTTTAGCTCATTAAGGGTTTTATTTAAAGTTTTGGCAAAGATCTGTAGCTCAGGTTGTGGATGAGGTTGCTCGCCGAGTTGGCTTGTTTTTGTTCAGACTTTCGTCAACGTGCTAGGTGACATCATTAGTGGAGCCTCCGATGAAGTGATGTTATTCTACTCTGCTCTGTCATATCTGATCTGTCATATACAAACCCATACAGATCAAAACCGGAAATGACACTAGGACCAGACAGTATAAATTCCAAGTGGAGTAAAATAATATCGCTTCATCAGAGGCTCCACTGATGATGTCACTTAGCATGGTGACGAAACGTCTGAACAAAAACAAGCCAGTTCAGCGAGCAAGGGTTTTATTTTAATTAAAAAATTTTAATACAAAGCTGTAATTATATATTGTAGTTACATGCAATATAAAATTGCTTTTTGATCTAATTTTCTGTTTCCCTGCTGCAAAGTGACTTTGTTTATGAATAATTGCACGTTATTTGTTGTACAGCAAGTTCTGGATCAGAAGGCAGTCTTGTAAAACATGAAATTGACTGTTCCAATAGCTCCCAAAGTTCAGAGCCAGCACTTTTGAGTGATTTTGCTATTGATGGCTCCATAACTACAACTTGTGACTTATCTGATCAAATGAGTTTGTTGAGCAGCAGCCTGGATCACTTGACCACTGATTTTTCTGATCAAGGGAACCAGATTGGTACAGAATTGGATATTATTTTGCAAGAGGAGAATAATTCTAACCTTTTTGACTCCATACAATCTCCTGAATGCATATTAACATCACAGGATGATCATCCCCCATTGGACAGTTTAGCAGAATCTTTGAAGACAGCAAGTACAATGAATGAAAATACATATTCATCTGATCTACTTTTTGCAGAATGTTTAGACACTGTAACTTCTGTCAAATTGGAAACTTTAGACAGTTCCTGCAATAAAAATGAAGACTGCAGAGCTGAGGTTTCAGTATCAAGTTCTGAACCAGTACTTAGACAGCAAGAAAATTTAGGTAGCACCATGTTTGATGTGATTTGCAACTGTGAACCTTTGGAGTTAAGATCTCAAGATACAGAAAAATCTGTGTTGTCTGGTGGCCTAAATTTGCAAGGATCTTTAAGTGAAAGCTCAGAGTCTTTCTTGGATGAGCGACATGCACTACTGATGAGAATTCTTTCACCTGACAAAGATCACAAGAAACAAGAAACCAATGCATTTTCACAGTTATGTGTGTCATACAATGAACCCAATTTATCAGACACAACTGAAACTCCACAATCTTTAGAAACTGTTTGTTCATTTGATGATGGTGTCACTGAAAAAAAGAATGTCCAAGAACAACTTTCATCATCCAGTGATGATGATGAGGATATTTATGGCCATGGAGGACCTCATTTATTATCCGAAACCAACGTGACTGAACGTATTCTCACTTCCGATGCTGAAAAATCACAAGGTTCAGTTTTTCAAGATCTGAATACTTCTGTTTCAGATGAAATGGAGCTTTTAAAATCCGATCAGGTGAAGCAAATAACCATATTTGTTTTTCTCTTAAGCTAATGTTTACTCTTGTATTAAACATTTAGTAAATTACATGTGTTCTATTTTTAATTATCATCACTTCTTTGATGTAACATTTTACCAAAGGAAAAAGCAGTTGGCCAGATAAGCACAAGATACTGTTCAGTCGAGAGCTTTGATGTCAGTGACAAAATTTTGAAATATTTTTGTCAATTCTATGAATTCATTGTTAACTTAAATGTGGAAACTGAAAAACTTATTATTGAATCAGGCACAAATGTTTTAAAATGAGGACATAGTTAATGGGTCTTGAAAGGACAAAAAAAAAGCAAAATTCAAAGAGAGAAATTCATTGACTTCTATTTATTTTGTGATTTTAGTTTGCTGAGAGCTGGATGGGTTACACTGGCCCAGGTTATAGCATCCTCAGCCTTGTAGTCTCCGAGAAGCATGTCTGGTGTTTAGATTACAAGGGTGGACTATACTGTAGCCCTTTTCATGGTACGAGTTTGCGGTGGCAGAAATTTGAGGATGGTGTGCAACAGGTGGCAGTATCACCATCAGGTCAGTGAAGAAATGGTGTTGCTTTGTTGTGCTCATCATACAGATAGAATTACAAATATTTGCAGAAATTGAAGAGTGGAACTTGTCATTATACATTTCTAATAAATATAAATTATGTACATTGTAAATAGTTTAAAAAATGCATTGCAGTGTGCTTGAAGGAAGGACGTAGTACTCGAACAATTAGAGTAGATTCTGCACCTTGCTTGCAAAGCGTATATTGATTAAACTAGAACTTGTGAAACCGCCTGTATTTTAATTTTAGACATCTTTGGAATTATTTTAACTTTCCGATAACAGGTGTGCTGTTGTGGAAGATTGAACAAAAATCAAGCAAAGCTTTTGCCTGTGGTAAAGTGACAATGAAAGGGAAGAGACATTGGTATGAGGCTTTACCAAATGCTGCATATGTTGCTTTAAGTGATGACACTGCATGGATCATCCAAACCAATGGAGAACTCTTTCTACAAACAGGTATTTCACTAATAAATTTATTATTGCATAGATATTATCTAATCAACCTGTTCAGAAATGTTATTACACACAACCGGAGCAGGTGGGACTTGAACTTAGGTCTTCTGGCTCAGCAGTAGGGATACTACTACTGTGCCACAAGAGCCGTTATTATTGCAGTCATGTGCTTGCAGCAGAAAGTGTTTTCCTTAGTAGGTGCAATTAATTATTCATAGTTTCTGTCAAATCTATATTTTTCCCTAGTCGCTGTACTGTTTATTGCACAATTAGACGTATTAAAAAGAAATATATTTAAGATTTATGTTTGTATGGTTTCTTTCACAATCTTTGGCTGTGATGTCTTTGGGCAATCCCATGAATTGGTTGTGTCTACTGTAAGTTAGGAAAGTTAGAAATATATTGCCTTTAAAATAAATTTGACTTTTCAATTTTAAAGAAAGTTTCCAAGGTCTATTGCATGATTCTACAGAGCAGAGAAGTTGGAACAAATTAGATAGCTCTTTCAAAAAGACAAGGCGGGTATTTGGGATGAATGTGTTCTGTGATCTTGTGGACCCAGCATATAGCACTTTGTCACACCAGATAAATATTGTAGGAAAAGCTTGAGCTTTTCCATCTAGATTGGTGCCATTCTTTGTTCAGGAGAGGTGATGGTCTAGTGGTAAACTATCAATTGCTAGACTATCAATCAAGATACCCAGGTAATATTCTGGGGATGCTGGTTCAAATCATGGAATTTGAATTCAATGAATATCTGGAATTAGGGACAGAACCTGCCATCCTTACTTGGTCTGGCCTACATGTGATTCCAGATCCATAGCAATGTGGGTGAAACTTAACTGCCTTCTGGGTAGTAAGTTCTGACCCTGCCAATGATGCCCACATCCTGTGAATGAACAAAAAAATTAGAAAGTACTGCGGGATAAAAGGAAAATCACTTGTCACCATGCAAAAGAATTTTTTTTAACAAAAATTTCTTTAAGTTGGAAATGTTCAAATTACTTCTGATCAGCATGTTCAGTAATGTTATTTCATACCCCTGGAACAGGTGGGTCTTGAACCCAGGCGTCCTGGCTCAATTGCAGGAATTGTAGGCTCAATTGCGCCACACAAACTCCTCGAAAAATGTTTTTCTTACATTAACCTATTTGCTTAGTCAGTCTGTCCAGAGATGTCATTACAGACCTCTGTAGCATATCGGAGTTAAACCTGGGCCTCCAGGTCCAAGGATAGGGATACTACCACTGCACCACAAGGGCGCCCATGAAAAATGTTCAATAAGTCCTCAACTGAATTAAAACCAGCTACTAATTAGGGAAACGTTAGAATAGTTTTCTCTGCTTTTGAAATGAAGTTTTCGCAGGTTCCAGTCATGACCAGTACCAAACCTAATTGAGTCTAAATGAGTGTCAGCTGACTCTTGGACACATCATTCAACAGCCATATCAAAGCATGACTGCACACAAATCTTGACAGGAATCCTAGCCCATTAGTTTTCGTCTTCCCTAATCCAATGGCATTGAGACAAATAGTCCTCACACACTGGTGGCTGTAGCTAAATTGGCATTATTGTTACACTTTTCAGTTCTTTTTTGATCACCTTCTATTACTTCGCTGCAGTCAAATTTTAGAATTAGAATTAGGTTTTATTGTCGCATGTGGTCGAGTACAGGGATTCAGGAGTATAGTGAAAAGTTTACAATGTAACCATTCATGGTGCCATCTTAGGTACAAAATCTTAGGTTAAAAAAGTAGAAAAATAAAGAAATAATTTAAAAGTTCTGCGTTACAGCTCTTGTCAGCATAAGGTAGTAAATAAGAAATAAAAGTTAAAATTTTGTGCCTGTTTTTGTCCAATCATATAGTAAATCACAAAATATCTTTTTCTCTGCATTTTCAATTGCTTCTTTCAGTTAGCCCTCTCCTTCCCATCAGCTTTCAACTCTTCACTGTTGCTGTCTATGTTTTCTAGCCTTTTTTAAATCTGTGGCAGTGTGTACTAAGCCAGTTCAATCCCATGTGCTTGATAGAAGGCTTTCATTGGATGCTCCCTTCCAAAAATATTTAAGATAAATGCAGCTTATGTCATCGGGTTACTATTTAAAAGTGGATGAACAGAACATGTTGATCATGGTAAGTATCAACTTGCCCTTTACTGGAATGAGGAGGGAATGCTGGCAACTCATAGTACTAAGATGCACACTGAGGTATTATGTTTTCCAGGGAGGTGACAGTGATGCACAGATTTTGAATTGGAATGCTGGGATTTTATAGCATGGCTTATAGAAAATAAAAGTCATTGTTTATGATTGTGAATTTATATAGAATTCTTCAGTGCTGTGTACGGTTTTCAACTTCACCTCATAGGAACGATATTGAGGCAAAAGTGCAGCAGAAATTTTTTAGTCTAAAGTCTTGAAAAGAAAGACATGAAGTATTGGAGCTGTTTAATAGAAATATTTAGTTCTGAAGGGATGGGACAGAACAGCTGGGAAGAAACTGCTTTCAGTGACAAAGAAATGTAGATTGAGAGGGCATGATTGACTGCAAGAGATTGGGAACAAAGCAAGAATAATATATATCTTATAGCAGAGTTGAGAAACTGGAATGCAGTATCAAAGGTAGTGATTGAAGTGGAAACTATGTTGAGTTTTAAGAATATTGCTAAGAAAGAGACATGAAGTCAGAACTTTGTGTCTTCCATTCATCAAAACTGAAAAGCAAGAAAAATGTTTTTATTTTGTGTCCTCCTCCCTCCTCTTTCCCTTTCACCATTGGTGAATTAGCCAACAGGGCTAACTAAAGAAGTTAAGATTGAAAGAAAAGCCACACGGTGTTTCAAAGATTAACTGTAGGCCAAAAGATTGGTAAAATTTTCGGAACCAAGAATGTATTACGAAAATGAATGTGTGGAGAATTTGGAATCTGACAGTAAATGAGCAAAAAAGTTTAAAAGCTGACAGTCAGACCTTTCTAAGTATAAATAAAGAGAATAAAGTGAGTACTGGTCTCTTTTAAAGGATGAGAATAGGGAACTAATAATAACAGGTCATAAAATGTCAGAGGATTGGGATCAGTATTATGTATCTGTATTCATAGTTGGACACAAAAAGCATCCCAAAGTAACAGCAGGAAAAGCCACGGGGTAGAGGGAAGGGAGGCACTTAAAATAGAACTACTGGGAAAACTAATGAGATTAAAGGCTAACAAGTCCTGGGGCACCTTTCAAGTCTGAAAGTGGCAGCCTTTGTGCAAATTTGTAAACGGACCGATAAATCATAGCGTGCCTGGTTTACCTCAAAATACCAGGGAGACATTAAGGATCTCAAAAATTTAAACAAATCATTTCAGAGTGCTACTGCACAAATGATGTTTTTCACAAATGGGATGCTACTGTCAGTCTGAATAGACGTTCAGCCTACCACACAACTAAGCACATCATGTATAAATTACCTTTATTTAATGCCAGCTACATAAGACATACATTCCAATGAGTGGCTGATCAAATCAAATAATGTGATGCTCCAAAATTCCACAATATGAAGAGCACAGATAATACTCAACCAACTCCTGTGCAAACCCAAACCAAAGCATCCACTGTTGGGTATGATTCTGCAATTAGGCAGCACTTTCTGAACAATCCTGAGTGCATAATACCATACTAACAACCAGTGTAAGATAATGACTTCAGCTCAAAACCTGGCTGATTTATGCTTGTTACAGGCTACATCCATTATTAAGCAGGATCTCATTTTCTACAAACAAATATGTTAAAGTCTTGCACGTTTTTTGTATTATCAAGAAGCTGCTTTGCCTGTCGCTTTCTCCATGGCAACATCCCATCCAATTAGTCAACTTGCCGTAAACCAATTTGCACTCTTTTTCACCTGTGGTATAAATTTCTGTTGTTATGCCTCCCTGGGGTAGCACATTGGAAATCAAGCCCCACTATTTCCGTAGATGTCACAGAAGTTTAAAAACATTCATCAAAGTATGTCAAGCCCCCAATCTACCTGTCTGATAGACTTAGGTTAACAAAACAGTGCCACGGTGGCTCAGTGGTTAGCACTGCTGCCTCACAGTGCCAGGGACCCGGGTTCGATTCCACCCTCGGGTGACTGTCTGTGTGGAGTTTGCGCATTCTCCCCACGTCTGTGTGGGTTTCCTCCGGGTGCTCCGGTTTCCTCTCACAGTCCAAAGATGTGCAGGTTAGGGTGGATTGGCCATGCTAAATTGCCTAGTGTTCAGGCATGTGTAGATTAGGTGGGTTGTAAGGGAATGGGTCTGGGTGGGATGCTCTGAGGGTCGGTGTGGACTTCTTGGGCCGAAGGGCCTGTTTCCACACTGTAGGGATTCCATGATCTATGATAAAACATGGACCAGGTTTCTGTACCTAACTAGAACTACTAGTTATAAACATTTGTAGTTTTTTACATGTGGTTAAAATCTATCAATGTATAACTCTACAAGTTAAAAATCTAAACCCCTTCTAACCACCCCTTCCCTAAACACACACTGACAGACAAAATCATTGGTATTATGGATGGGGGGGATAATCTACTGGGAAAACAGTTCAATGGCACATGTTCTCAGGATTTAACAGCATGGTTCCTTTGTTTCCCAAGTCCTTTAGTTCTCTGAGCTATTTCTTTGGGTTCTTTCACTTCTTCAAAGGAGTCACAGAAGGACTGATTCACAAATTATAAAATCTCTGACCTACTGATTAAAAGCAACAGTTTACAGTAACTGGATGAAAAACAAATTAGATTTCTTTAGCTTCAGGTATTTTACTGGATAAAGATGCTCTTCACTGTTTCATTCATATCCACGAGCTGCAGAAAATCAGGCTTATGGCCCTTGGCATCAACAACTGGTCGTAATTCCACAACCAGCTACTCACTTTATATACACACCATAGTGCTGTGCCATTGCTTTACACCTTCCCCTTTGCTTCTAAAACAACAGTGTAACATGACTCTCGCAAAGTTTCAGTAACTTGC